GCAAATTCTCCAGCCCCACCCCAGAACTATGAATCAGAGAACTCAGGGGTGAGCCCGGCACTCGGCACTCGGTTTTAACAAGCCCACGGGGGACCGGACGCACAGCCAGTCTGTGGACCCCTGGCGTGGTGGATTCCAGTTCTGAGCTGTGGTCACCTCATCTGTCAGCTGGGACCCCACTTCCGGCAGAGGCCAAGCAGCGGGGGTTCATGTGGCCTCCTGCCTGTCACAGGGCTGGCGCTCAGTAATGGGCCTCCCCAGCCAGGGGTGGTCCTCAAGCAGCCTGGTGCATGGGCCCCAGGAGGAGAACTAGGACAAAGGTAAGGGAGACCCCATCTGAAGTTAGCTTGGGGTCCTGGATGCCAACCCTAGGACGATTTTTCTTTTATCTTTCACTCTGCCTGCTAAGCAGAGTGTTTTTATTATTTTGCAACAACAAAGCCACAGGACACTGGGCTTGCAGCCCTCCCGGCGGCCACCTGGCCCCTTCTCCCCCAGGCCACCTCCCACTCCTGGTGGAGCTGTCTAGGGCCAGCGGGGAGCCCCTCATGCAGACTGAGCGCGACTCCCCTGCCCCGCCTTGGCCGGGCTCCCGGGAAAGGAGCAGCAGGAGGCCCCCTTATCAGGCCTAGAGAGGGCCTGGCGCGTTCCAGGAACAGACGCCTGGGAGCTCGGAGCCGCGTGTTTGGAACGCAAGCGCCGCTGAATGCCTTCCATATGCTTCGGGTGCTGGGCGGGCTGGGCCGGCCCCCGGGGAGTGAGGGGAGCCGGCAAACTGGCTCCCGGCCGGCCCCTCCAGCCCCTGGGCCGCCCGGGCTGCGTGCAGGCGCACTGATTTGCCGCCGTCCCCTGTCTGTCTGCGCCACCTGCCTGTGCACTGGGTTGGTGCCAGCGCAGTGCCGGACACCTAGGAAGCACCAGGAGGGGTTTGATGAGTGGATACTTACAGAAACGACTTACCGTTGGTGGAAGACTTTAGAGACTGGCCTACAGCTTCGCTAACCCTCCCGGGGGCCACCCATGGTGGGGAGCGTGAGCCCAGCCCACACATCCGCACCCACTGCTCAGGACTTTGCTCTCCGACTTTGCCCAACGTGAGAGGTGGGCTCAGGGCTGGTGCTGAGACGGGGCTCAAGGCCACGAGGCTGGGATGGAGCAGGTCAGGGTGGGAACCCAGCGTAAAGGATGCTATGTCCAGTGCTCTTTCCTGCCCAGCTCCAGAGGGAGCCCCTGCTGAGGGCTGACTGTCCCCTGGCCTCCCTGGTTACTAGGACTCCCAAAGGCAGGAAGCCAGCTTCTAAGGAGACAATGCATAGAAAATTCCAGTAAGCTCTGTCCTGCCCTGGCCACAGAGGTGAGCAGATGGCCTTAAAGAGGCGCTGGGTGAGGTTCCCATTGTGTTGATCCAGTGGCTGCACCAGCACTTTCATATAATCCTCCTTAATACTCTTTGGAACCTTCATCTACGTCCCATGAAATGGACCCTGCCTTTACCTTATTCAAATTATTATGTATTTTATCCATTTCAAAACATTTTGCACTTAGAAAACAGGACAGTGTTTAAAAACAGGGGCTGGCGCTGTGGCCTGGTAGGTCAAGCCACCATCTGAAGTGCCAGCATCCCATATAGGCAGTGTTTGGAGTTCTGGCTGCTTCACTTCCTTTTTTTTTTTTTTTTTAATTAAGTTATTTATTTGAAAGTTAGAGTTACACAGAGAGAGGAGAGGCAGAGAGACGTCTTCCATCTGCTGGTTCACTCCCCAACTGACCACAATGGCCGGAGCTGTGCCGATCTGAAGCCAGGAGCCAGGAACTTCCTACGGGTCTCCCACATGGGTGCAGGGACCCAAGGACCTGGGCCATCTTCCACTGCTATCCCAGGCCACAGCAAAGAGCTGGATCAGAAGAGGAGCAGCCAGGACTAGAACCAGCACCCATATGGGACGCCGGCACTTCAGGCCAGGGTTTTAACTTGCTGTGCCACAACGCCGGCCCCTGCTTGACTTTCATTCTCGCTCCCTCTAATGTGCCTGGGAGAGCAGTGGAAGATGGCCCAAGTGCTTGGGCCCCTGCATGCATGTGGGAGATCTGGATGAAGCTCCTGTCTTTGGCCTGTCCCAGCCCCAGCCATTGCAACCATTTAGGGAGTAGGGAGTGAATCAGTGGGTGGAAGACATCTCTCTCTCTCTTTCTCTTTCTGTGTGTGTGTGTGTGTGCCCCTCTCCGTAATTCTCCCCCTTCCCCCCCCCAAAAGAGCCTAAAAGCAAACCTTCTAGATTGTCTCAGGTTGACTGATGGCAAGAGACGGACTTTCGTGGTTGTGGGGTGCTGCGAGGTGGGTCTGACATCCACAGGGTGGGCTGCAGGACGGCAGCCTCCAATCCTCAGGCAGGCCCTGCGGCTCCGGGCCACAGGGGGACTCTGTTCTCAGTGCCTTTCAGGGACCGCATCAGCTGCACCCTGACCAACGAGCATGATCTGCCCCGAAAGCCAACTGATTACATCTACACATACCTCACAGTGACCCCTGGGTGACACAGAAAATGACCCTCACAGCAGGTTTCCATCTCCCCAGTGCACTGTGCTATGCAGGCGACCGAAGGAGGGGAGACAGCCTTAACCAAGGAGGGGCCTTGGGGGCTGAGCCTTGATACTGGTGCTGGGTGGGGGGTTGGGAGGGGCAGGACTATCCCAAGGGAGGGGCTAGGAAGGGGCTGATCAGATATAACTTGGCCAGAGGATGACCCGTTTGAATTTAGATAACTTGGGTCTGTTTCACAGCCTCTTTTTTTTTTTTTTTAAAGTTTTATTTATTTAAAAGACAGAGTTGCAGAGAGGCAGAGAGAGAGAGAGAGAGAGAGGTCTTCCATCTGCTGGTTCACTCCCCAGATGGCTGCAACGGCTGGAACTGCGCTGATCCGAAGCCAGGAGCCAGGAGATTCTTCCGGGTCTCCCACGTGGGTGCAGGGGCCCAAGGACTTGGGCCATCTTCCACTGCTTTCCCAGGCCATAGCAGAGAGCTGGGTCAGAAGAGGAACAGCCGGGACTAGAACTGGTGCCCATATGGGATGCTGGCACTTCAGGCCATGGCTTTAACCCTCTGTGCTATAGCACTGGCCCCTCACAGCCTCTTGATATACTCGCTTAACCTTGAAGTGCACCTTAAACTCAGAGTATCAGGTTTTTACAATGGGGCTTTGGATATCAAAAGACAGTGTTGCTTGCTTAGGTTCATCAGTCTTGTCACAGTTACTGGAAGCTGCAGTAAGTAGCAACAAGGAGTCTGATTTGTTGAGGTCCTTCCGTGAGTCAGGCATGGTTTTAAGCACTTTATGTGGCTGAATTTGCATAATCCTCACATCAGTCCCATAAAGCGGGCACCCTGCACCCTGTTTTGCAGACAAGGACTATCATTTCTGAAAGTATGTGACCCTGGATACACGCGATGTAAGCATTCCCCTTTGAAGGGAGCAAGGGGCACATCCACAGGAACGTTTCCCGGGGTTCCATCTCATAAAGGAGGCAGAGTGCTTTAACCCAGGCAGCGGCCCTGAACTCCCAACCCAGGCTTCTGGTGCGAGTGTGCCCGGATGAGTGAGCGGACGTCCAGAACAGGCAGCTATTTCTACAGAAACAGAAAGTAGATGATGGTTGGCCAGGACTGGGATGGGGGTGAATGGGGAGAGTTTGGGTGGGTTTCTTTTTGGGGTGATGAAAATGTCTTGAAATTGACCGTGGCGATGGCTGCACAGCTGCACATAATACAGAGTTGTATGGTGGGTGGACTGTATCCAAGCTGTTAACAAAAAACCCAGGCTCGACCTCACTTGTGTGACCTTGTAGGGTGACCTCTTTTCTGTCTCTTCTGTAAAGTGGTGACCGGAAGGGCAGCTGCCTCGCGGGGTTGTTGTGCTGCTGGGATGAGAGGCATTAGGTGGCACTCAGCGCGGGGCTGCACACACAGCAAGCCCTTGATGAATGCTGCCAGCAGCCAGGGCGTGGTGGGGTGCTGCATCGAGCACCTATGTCCGTCATCTCATCCAGGCTTCTAACCACTAGCACATCAGTTGTGTCATGGGGGAGACTGAGGCTGGGGTGGGGGCAGGCCAGAGAGCTCTGAAAAATGAGGCTGGGATTGGAACCCAGGCTTTCCTGATGCCAAAGCTTGGGTTCCGAAGCCCAAGGCAATCCTAGTTTTTGCTCTAGGCTTGTGTGGATCTTTGTTATGAGATGGTGGGCTGCACTCCCTGAGGCCAGCCTTCATCCACCATCCCCTTTCCTTCCAATTTGATTGCCTGCTCTGCTCTTGCTTAGCACACTTTTCCAAGGTTGAAAACACCCCCAGAGAAAGGCTGCCCAGAGTTGAGCTGGCAGGGTGCACAGCTCCAGCCCCCGGGAGGTGTTAGGCTTTTGGGAGGAAGGCTCAAACTAACAACTTGCTTCCAAGATCCAGCCCTGCCACCTCCTAACTTGTAACAACCGCTTCACCTTTGACTTATCGTGTGGATTCTATTTACTTGCAAGGGATGTTGGGAGCTTGCTCACAGACTGGCAAGGTCCCAGAGCCAGGAAACTGGGCTCTCTGGAGACCCCTATTGGCAGGGAGGTGGCAATCCTGGGGCTGGCCTGCACCCAGCGGGCCTCACAGCCAGCTGCGCAGAGGCAGTGAGGGCTAAAAATAAAAGTCACGTCTTACAGGGACCTGGGCTGGCCGGGAGGCAGATGGGGGTGGGGGGAGGGGAGGCAGGAGGACTCACTCACCACTAGGACTCCCCACCTGCGGTGTGTGGGTGGGGGCAAGTGGGAGGCAGTGATTCCTTTACCCAGCACAAAGCCCCCATCCGTTATTACAAAGGCGCTGACTTGGGACCACATAGAGTGGCCAGAGCTGGCTCCCCCTAGCCACAGCAATGAGCAAGGTCCTCTCATGCTGCCCAGCGAGAATAAAAAGCAGGCTACAGACAGAATTCTAAACTTTCTAGCAACCACATTAAAAAAAAAAAAAAAGAAACAGGTGAAATTACATTTAACAATATATTTTATGTACTCTGACAAGGTATTTACCAATTCAGTGTCATCCATATAAAAATATTAGCACAATAAATTCTCTTTGGCACTGAGTCTTCCAAATCTGGTGTTTTATAGACTTAGAGCACAGCTCCCGCTGCAGTAGCCACCCCTGGCGTGCACTGCTGAGTCTTCTCTGGTGGCTGCACCCATTGCCACAGATCTTGTGGCTTGCAGCAGCATGGATGTGTCACCTTGCGGTTCCAGAGGCTGCAAGGCTGAAGCGAGTCTTCCAGAGTTAAGGTCAGGGTGTTGGCAGAGCTGAGCTCTCTCTGGAGGCCCCAGGAGGCCGTGTGCTCCTTGGCTTTCCCTCTCTGCATTTGGTGGCACCAGTGTCCAAGTATCAAAATGCATCTGGGGTCCCTTTGCCCACTGTGCGGCAGACCCTGTCTTAGGGGACACGCTGCGGTTTAAAAATGGTCTGCCCCCAGGAGTTCAATCCCCCAGGTCGTGCCGGAAATAGTATGAAGAGGGTGGAAACTGACTCGGCCCCAGGTGTGCCGGGGTGGGGCCTTTGGGGAGCGACTGGCATTAGATTAGGGCAGGAGGGTACAGACCCCACGACTCAATCCTGGTGGCTTTGTACCGAGGGGCAGAGGGGCCACAAGAGCCAGGTGCGCTCCCTGCCTTTTGCCATGTGATGTCCTGCACGTCCTCAGAACTCTGCCAACCAAGGGCTCATGCCCTGTCTCCTCCAGATCCCTGCACAAGGGGTGCCCGACATCCAAAGCCAGGGGCCAGTCTGCCCAGGACCTGGACATGTGATCGCAGGCACATCACTCCCCTCCCCTGCCTCAGTTTCTCTGTTTAACAGTCATGATGACGTCAGTCTGGCTTAGCATCCAGAGACTTGAGTGTGAATCCTGACCCACCACGTATTTGGAGTGGCCTTGAGCGACTTATTTCACTCTTCTTCCTTGCCTGTGAGCTGAGGCGCTAATGGTAGGAAGTGAACAGAAGGGAGCATACTGTGGTCATCATTTGGATTCTAGCAAGTCCGCATGTGTGTGTGCGTGAGTATTTGTGTCCACCTTCCCAAAGAGACAATGCACAAAAACGCTCCGCTCTGACTCTCTAGACATGGGCCTCAGGGGTGATTTTTACTTTCTTTTTGTATATCGTTGTTTTCCAGTTTTTCTAGGATCAAAAATGAACAGTGTAAAACAGCCACTGTCCTTACTGCCTGGGGCTGTCCAAGGGTGGCCTCTGGGCAAATCTGCTTGCCCTGCCCTCCTGGGGTGCAGCCAGGTCCTGCAAGGCTGGTCTCTGGCGGGGAGCACAAGGACCCACGGCCTCCCACTGCCTCCCATGCAGGGGCGAGCCCACTGTGACTGATGACTTCACCCACGAGGAAGCTCAAGGAGGTAGGAAAGAGCTGGAAGTGAAAGACCTGGTGTCTAAGGTCCGTGCCCACCTCCCACCCCTCCCCCAGCTTCTCTGGACTCCACCTCCCCATCTGTAGAAGGGGAGGAGAGGGTGCCTGCTGCACCCCAGGCTGTGAGGCTCCAGGCAGCTTTGCCTGCGCCTTGCCCGCCCCGCCCTTCAATCACCTGGCAGAGAGGTGCTGTCCAGCTTTTGGCTAGCGCAGGGCTTCCCTGGGAAATGCATCACTGTTCCACATCACTGTCTCAGGCGACTGTTGACTGGCCAAGGGGGCGCCCGCAGGGCTCTGGCTGAGCAGCTGTGCGCAGGTGCTTTTGCTCTGGCCCATCCCACCCTTTCCGTCTTCCCCTGTAGCCCCCTGCCACCCGGATCCTGCCTGGAGCCACCACTGCTCACAGCCCCCGCAAGCAGAGGAGTCAGCTGTTGGCAAGGCTGCAGGGGCGAGTGGTTGGGGCCTGGCCTGGAGCCCTGAGTGGTAACAGGAAGCACCAGGGGCTCTGGACAGCCAGGCAAGGGTCCCTGAAGGGAACGGGGCTTGATGCCATCCAGGTGAGAAGTCAAGCATGGGCCACTGCTGGTCCTGGACAGGCAGCGGTGTCCAGGGTGTCCCTGGCTCTCCTGTGGGGCATCCCCTTTGAGGGTCACGCAATCCAGGAGGGAGACAGGCTAGGGGCATCCCCTCACTGCACAGAAGGGGAGACTGAGGCCAGAGAGGATGCTGCTGCCAGCACACCGGCTCTGACGCCCCCTGCAATACCAACGGCACCACCTGGAACTCAGCAACGGAGCAACGGGCTTCTTCAAACTCGCTCAGCGCCACCAACTCCAACTGCACACTTGATGAAGCCTCGGAAGAGATTTTTAAAAAAATTCTTTTGGTTTTTAATACATATTTATAAGGACGACCCCTGCCCAGTGGTGCAGAGGTTCTGGTCAGGGTCGAGAAGTGAGTGCCTCGGTTTACCGGCTGACCTGGGACTCTGGAGAGCGCCAGTCTCCTGGTCTCCCCTAGATGCCGTGCAGGGGCGTTCAGCCGGGGGAGGCCTGGATGCAGGCCGTGTGCATGCCCCTGTGTGGCGGGAACCTAAGCTGCCAGGCCTGGGGTGGCAGGTGCACTGCAGCCAGCCCAGCCTGCCTTGTGGTCCCAGATGTGAGTGGGGAACTTGATGGCAGGAGGCTCCTGAGTGTTTCCAGAACCCTCCAGCCTGGAAGGCTCACCTGGGTCAGGGAGGCCTGGCATTAGACCATCTGGACTGGAAAGAACTGGAAGATCTTCAAAGCCCAACTTCCAGTTCAGTGCCCCCCCCCCCCCGCCCCACCCCGTGCAGGCCTCTGGATTTGCTTGTTTGCCTCCAGTGATGGGAAACTCCTTCATGGCTTGGACAGACTGAGGTCGCACTGGCACCCTGTCCCTTCGGCCCCAGCCTAACCCTGGGCAGGAAGAGCAAACACACTGCCAGCTCTCCGTGGGGTCCCTGTATAGATCTGCCTACCCCAGGAGCTCCTCCGCTTAGATCCTACAGCTCCGAGTCACCACCCGTGCCCTAGGCCGGGTCCCATCCTCTCCCCATCTTGGGCCAAGTCCACTTCAACAGTCAGGGCTGAAGTGGCTCCCAGGCCTCTGGGTGCCATGGCTGAAGCCTCAGGGAGCAATGCTGCCCAGCACTCCAAGCGGACAGCCAGCTGGTCGACCTGCCAGTCCTGCTCAGGTCACGCAAGCCCTGGTGCAGCCCTGTGCTCTTGAACATCAAGGGCAGAAGTCACAGTCATCTCACTTGGCTCCCCAAGGAGCCCCACCTGCCCGCCCTAAGCACTGGTCTCCACGATGCACTTGAGGAACATGGTGTCGTCCTTCACGTAGGCATGCTTGGGTGACTGCAGCTTGTTGAGGGGGAAGAAGAGAGGGCAGCCGCTGGCCACGTTGGTTTCACTCTGGGGCCGCTGGAAGGACGCAGAGCTGAGGTCCGGCCGGAAGGCGTCGATGGCGTGCTCCCGGTTATTCTGGTCAAGCAGCATAAAGGTGACCTGCAGGGCAGGGGACAGGGCGAGGTCAGGCCTGGATGGTGGCGCTGTGACCGGGAGAACCAGGGCTTGGCTCAGAGCAAGCTGCCTGCCCACTGCCTGTGCAGCCCCTCTGAACCTCGGCTGAGACCAGGAGACAAACAGACAATGAAAAGGCTGCACCTGCCATTCTGAGCAGGCTCAGGGGCTGTCCTAGGCTTAGGAGCCTGTGTTCTACCCGGCAGAACCACTAGTTTGGTTGACTGCTGGGGGGTAAGGACGGGACTGGGGCACTGACAAGGAGGCTGGACTCAATAAGCTAAATGTCCCTGCCGGCTCTGACATCTTGGATTCATCAGTTTCAGCTGGAACCACCCCCTGACCCCCAACAAGGCAGTGGGGTAAGGACAGATAGAGCCTCTACCTAGAGATTGTCAATCAATGCCCTGAAACATATATCAAGCTTCTGGTATCCACAGAGCAGCTACGTACACCCTGAAGCAGCCGATTATCTGAATGTGACACAGGGACAGGTGTTTGGTGTGGCAGCTAAGACACTGCTTGGGGTACCCATATCCCACATCGGAGGGGCTGGGTTCAGGTCCTGCCTCTGCCGATCCCAGCTCTCTGCTAATACAACCCTGTGAGGAAGCAGGTGATGGCTCAAGTAGTTGGGTTCCTGCCCTCCACGTGGGAGACCTGGGTTGAGTTCCAGGTTCCTGGCTTCAGTCTGGCCCAGATATTTGGGAGAGTGCAAGAGCAGATGGAAGATATCTCTCTTTCTCTCTCTCCCTCCCTCCCTTTCAAATAAACAAATAAATGTCATTACATGAGAGGCAGAGTTATAGACAGAGAGAGGGAGAGACAGAGAGAGATCTTCCATCTGCTGATTCACTCTCCAAATGGCTGCAATGGCTGGAGCTGGGCTGATCCAAAATCAGCAGCCAGGAGCTTCTTCTGGGTCTCCCATATGGGTGCAGGGGCCCAAGCACTTGGGCCACCTTCTACTGCTTTCCCAGGCCATAGCAGAGAGCTGGATTAGAAGAGGGGCAGCCAGGACATGAACTGGTGCCCATATGGGATGCCAGAGCCACAGGTGGAGGCTTAGCCTATTAAGCCACAGCACCAGCCCCATAAATGTCATTTATAAAAAATTTTTTTAATAGGGCTGGGCATTGCAGTGCAGTGGGTTAGACTGCAGAATAGGATGCCTGTAGCCCATACTGGAGAGCTGATTTGCATGCCAGCCACTCCCTCTTCTGATCCAACTTCCTACTGATGCATCCCAGGAGTTAGCGGATGATGGCCTAAGTCCTTGGGTTCCTGCTACTCAAATGGGAGATGCCAATGGTGTTCCAGGATCCTGGCTTTGGCCTGACCCAGCCCCAACTGCTGCAGCCATTTGGGGGAATGAATCAGCAGACAGAAGAACTCTCTTTCTCTCTCTGTAACTCTGCTTTTCAAGGAGAGAAAAGTAAATAAACATTAAAAAAAGATAAAATGATAAATAAAAGTGGTGCAAACAGTCTGCCCTGGCCCGTGGCCCTGCCAGGTGCCTGAAATCGGTTCCCTTGGCCTCCTGAAATCGCTCTGAAACCTGGCTGCACAGCCCGGAAGCCTGACGCTCGGGCCCTGCACTCATAGTGCTAAGCCCCGGTTGCTGGTATTTTAACAACCTCCTTGGCACCTTTGGAAACTGCTGCCTGCTGCCCACTGACTCACGCTCAGACCACCATGGGGCGCCTGCCTCCCATGCCAGCTGACATCTGGGTTCCTGACCCCTCCCTCTCTCTCAGCGCTGTGCAGGGAACAAGAGCCCCCTTTCCCCCCCTTAACATTTTAAAATAGACTTTATTTTTAGAGCAGTTTTAGGATCAGGGTGAAATTGAGCAGAAAGTACAGAGATTTCTCATATCCTTCCTACCCACACCCTGTACAACCTCTCCACTTTCAACACCTCCCACCCCCAAGGGCTACAGTTGTTACAACTGATGAGCCTATACAGAGGTATCTTTACCAACCAGAGGCCATCGTGTACACGGCCGAATAACAGGGCTATCATGCAGAGGACTTGCACGGCCTGAAATACACTCTCTCCTATCCTAGGCCACCACTCAGTTTTTAAAAAAAATATTTATTCACTTGAAAGGCAGAGAGAGAGAAAGACAGACCAACAGACCCACCATCCACTGGTTCGCTTCCCAAATGGCTGCAAACAGCCAGGGCTGGGCCAGGCCAAAGCCAGGAGCGAGGAACTCCATCTAGGTCTCCCCTGTGAGTGGCAAGAGCCCAAGCACTCGAGTCACCATCTGCTGCCTGCCCAGGTGCATTAGCAGGAAGCTGGACTGGAAGCGGAGCAGCCGGGACTCAAATAGGCGCTCCGATATGGGATACTGGTGTTGCAAGTGGCAGCCTCACCTGCTGGGCCACAACACTGGGCTCCCGTCTGATTTTTTTTTATTGTCTCCATACTATTGCCTTTCCCAGAATGTCATGTAGTTGGAATCATACAGTGTGTCTGGCTTCTTTCACTCAGTAGCATGCACTTCGGGGTCCTCCATGGCGTGATGGCGCATTTGTTTTTACTGCTGCATAATATTCACCTGCACGTACCATCGTTTGTCCATTCATCTTCTGAAGGACATCTTGTTTGTTGCCGGCTTCTGGTAATCATGAATAAAGCCACTATAAACACCCGCAAGCAGGTGTTTGCGTGGACATCTCTGGGTAAATAACAAGGCACGTGGCTGCTGAGTCGCAGGGTGAGGGTGTGTTTCGTTTTGTCAGAAACTGCCAGGCTCTCTTCCAAAGTGGCGGAACCGACCTACGTTCCCAGAAGCCGTGAGGGAGGGTCCCCAGCATTTGGCGCTGTCAGGGTTCTGGATTGGGCCCACGCCTTACAGGTGGACAGTGGCACCTGCCTCCTTCCTTTTTCTGAAAACCCTGCCGGCACAGGCTAGCCTCATAGCCCCTCCTCCAGGAAGTCCTCCCGATGCACCCCACCGTGACAGCTGCGTTTCTCCATGCTGTAGGAGAGCTCTGTTTCCGACACCTTAGCTCCCAGGCTCATGGAGCCAGAGGCTCTGGATCTGAACTTAGCTTCTTGTTTTATGAAAGGGAAACCGATAAAGCAAAGAGAGTGGGGACTTGCCAGGTCACAAGACCAAGTTCATGGCTAGACTGGGACCAGTCCCAGGCCCCCAAGTTTCCCCGCGACTCTCCCATCACCTCCTCCCTGCCTGTACCTTGTTCCGGAAAGGCCATGGCAGCAGAGCGTCGTACTCCCCTCTCATGATCACAATGAAGAGAGACAGGTGGGTCCTCTTGCCCGTGCCATCCCCATTCAGGTACAGTCGCAGGCACAACTTGTAGCCATACTTGGCAGTGTAGAAAGCTGAAATGCGGAAGCCACAGTCAGCCGGGCAGCACGGGGCTCGGCAGGTGAGAAAACCAAGGCCCCACAATTTGGCAGAACCAAGGTCACAGGCTCAAAACTGGGAACGCTGGGGATGAGCGGGTCAGAAAGGTGGAGGCTGGCAACCACCCACCACCCAACCCAATCGCAGCTTTGCCCGGGCGCCCAGTGGGCTTCTGACTCGGTAGCCCTGGGGTGAGGACACAGAATTTGCATCTCATAAGTTCAAATGGGTTGCCAGTGCCACTGGCCTTGGGAACACACTTTGAGAAACACTGATCTAACCAAAAGCTGTTTGTGAAAACCCAGCCCATGAACAGGAAGGGGCTGGTCACCGTCTCACAATGTGCTGGGGCAGAGCCAGGTTGAGAGGCCTTTTTAAGCCCCAACACTTGTTTCTTTCTCTATAAAGATTTACTTATCTTATCTGAAAGGCAGAGTGTCAGAGAGAGAAGGAGACACACACACACACGAGTTTTTCCATTGGTTGGTTCACTCCCCAAATGGCCACCACAGTTGGGACTGGGCCAGGCCGAAGCCAGGGGCCAGAAACTGTATCTGGGGTCTCCCCATGGGGGTGGCAGAGGCCCAAGGACTTGGGCCATCTTCTGCTGCTTTCCCAGGTGCACTCCCAGGGAGTTGGATTGGACTTGAATGGACTCCCATATGGGCCTTGCAGGTGACCCCTTTAAATTTTTTTTTCCCAAAACACTAGTTTGTTTCTGCTGCCCCAGGCCCAGTGGTTGGGGTCCCCTGGAGGCTGGAGGTGAGTGGGGGGGGCTCACAGTCCCAGTAGCCACCCTGACCAAGGCCCCCAGGGGCTGTTCCATCACTGGTGAGCCTGCCCGGGGGCCCCTGGGGCTCTCTCCCGGGGCAGCTGACATGGCAGTTCCTCCAGCGTGGGTTCTGGCAGCTGCCACTTTCCGGTGGCCCCTCCCTGGGTGGAGCCAGGGTGCAGGCATGGGCAGGAAGGGGGCGGAGGAGGGCCAGGCAACATTCTGACTCATGCCTGCCCGTGAAGTGCCAGGAAGAAGCCAGGGACACTGCTTGTTTTTCCTCTCTGGAAAGAATCGCAGAGGACAGGTGTGCACATAGAAGGTGAGGGGGGCCCAGGGCTGCCAGGCACTGGGGGCTGCGGACTGCTCCAGGCTGCACGGGGAACCCTCCCCCTCCCCGCCCCGCCAGCCATCTCCTGTGCAGAAGAGGAATCAGCCTGGCACGGCTGCTCTTGGGTGTGTGAGAGGAGCTGACAAACAGGAAAGGCGTGAAGCCTAGGCAGGCACTAGAGGCTGAGGGCGCAGCCGGCAGAAAGCCACGCGTGCACTCAGACACACCTGAGCAGGACGGGGGAAACCATGCCAGTCCGAGTCCAGGCACCGCACCCAGCTTCCCTCCAGCCTTGGGCACGGGACCCGGCCTCAGCCTGTTCATCTGTAACACGGTGTTGAGACGACAGGCACTTGGCGAGGGTTTGTGACATCGCCTGTCCCGTGCTGGCCCAGGCCCTGACACCTGGTGTGGTTTAAATGGAGCATTTTATGCACAGATATAGGCATTGCTACATTAACAGACATCCTGTCTTTAAGCAGAACACAGCAAGCGACTACTTTATGCAAGGCTTCGTGCCCAGCCCAGGGGCCCAGCGACGAGTAAGAACTGCCCGTGTCTACACAACATCATTCACCCGCTGCCCACAGTCACATACCACACACGGGCTTGACTCAGCTCTTCCCTGGGCTGATGCATCCCGTGGGCTCCCCGAGGGCAGGGTCCCAGGGTATCCACCAGTGCAAAGCCATCCCCGACACCCCTGCCATTTGCACAGCGTGGGCTCACGGGGCATCTCTTGCACACTCAGGTCCACAGGAAGTGGCCAGCCATTTGTATTCCCAGGCGGAATTGACTGTCTTTTTTTTTTTTTTTTTTTTTTTTGACAGGCAGAGTGGACAGTGAGAGAGAGAGACAGAGAGAAAGGTCTTCCTTTGCCGTTGGTTCACCCTCCAATGGCCGCCACGGCCAACGCACCGCACCGATCTGATGGCAGGAGCCAGGTACTTCTCCTGGTCTCCCATGGGGTGCAGGGCCCAAGCACTTGGGCCATCCTCCTCTGCACTCCCGGGCCACAGCAGAGAGCTGGCCTGGAAGAGGGGCAACCGGGACAGAATCCGGTGCCCCGACCGGGACTAGAACCCGGTGTGCCAGCGCTGCAAGGCGGAGGATTAGCCTAGTGAGCCGCGGCGCCGGCCGGAGTTGACCGTCATGCAGGGAGCACGCAGGTCTGCTCAGAGCCCCACGGCAGAGCAAGGTTTGCGCATCCCTCTCTTTCCTCCGTGCTGGGACCAGGTGCATCCCAGCCGAGCGGGAATCACAGCGGCTGTCCCAGGCGTGGCTGTCCCCTCCGCTGGTCTCCTGGGCCCTGGAAGGTGTTACCTGGGGAGAAGAGGCTGACGGTCCTGCCGCAGGCAGACTCGAGGCACCGCCTGGTGACGTTGGTGATCTTCCACAGGAAGGTGCCGTCGAAGGAGGCCTCCTCCATGAGGCGCAGGCTCTGCTCCAGCTTGCCCAGGGCTTGGTCCTTCTGGGCCAGGGTCTGCTGCAGCTCCACCACCTGCAGGGAACGCCCATTCAGCCAGGGACACAGAACCCAGCTGGAGGCTGGAGATGGAGCTGCCCCAAGCCTCGCTCTAGCAGGTGCACCTGCACTAATGCAGTTACCATGCTGGCCTGGAATTCCTTGTCCTTCTTGCCTCAGGGGCCAACTCCTACTCACCCATCAGGAGCCCCACTCCTGTGGCCCTTCCTCTGTGAGCTGCCCCCAGCTCGGCTGGCCCCTCTTTCCTCTGGGTTCTTATGGAGCCCTTACAATGGTTTCATGCAATATATTTTTCTCCCTTTCCTGTCACGTGGGTTCCGCCCCCTGCCCGAGGCCGGAGCCATGCTCACTTTGTCTGCATCCTTGCCTTGCATGGTGCTGGCGTGTAAAAGCAGACACAGCTGCTGCCATCGGGGGCCCTGCCTTTCAACTGGGAATCACACAAAGGCCTGACTCGGCCATGCCAGCCCTGTGCCCGGCCCTTCTCGTAGATTTCCCCAAGGAAAGCTGGAAGAACACACATTTGTTCTCGTAGAGAAAGAAGGGATGAGAGTGAATGTCCTTAAAGAAACTTCAGAGGCTGGCGCTGTGGTGCAGGGGGTAAAGCTGCCATCTGCAGTGCAGGCGTCCCATATGGGCACCGGTTTGAGTCCTGGTTGCTCCACTTCTGATCCAGCTCTCTGTTGTGGCCTGGGAAAGCAGTGGAAGATGGCCCAAGTCCTTGGGCCCCTGCACCCATGTGAGAGACCCAAAGAAGTTCCTGGCTCCTGGTTTTGGATCGGTGCAGCTCCGGCTATTGCAGCCATCTGGGGAGTGAACCAGTGGATGAAACACCTCAACACCCCCCCACCCCTTCTGCCTCTCTGTAACTCTGCCTTTCAAATAAATAAATCCGAGGGAAAGCGACTTGCTCAGGCCCAGGTACTGAGCTAATGCTGGGGCTGAAACTAAACCCCAGCCCTAACGCGAGAGGAGACAAAGATCTAGTTTGTGGCAGGGACAGCAACACTGGCGTGGCGACAGCTACACTGAGAGAAGTGTGAGCTCTGGGGTCAGGAAGGGGACGATCCTTGTGCACATGTGCTACAGAGGAAGTGGGCTCACTGGAGTCAGGGTGGGACCACCTGCAAGCATGCAGGGTCAGAGACGGAGCCCGCGGGCACCGGGACAACGGGATACATGCCCAGGCGAGGGGACGGAGGTGCCAGGCCGCGGAAGTGCTTGGTAGGATGTGATCACCGACTGTGCGTCCCTCGGGGGCTGCCACAGGGACCTGAAGGCAGCTTTGTCTTGTAGACCCTAAGAGGCAGGGCCAGGAACAATGGAGCAGGACAGGGAGAGGCTGGCGGGAGCTTAGTATAAGGAAAAACTCACTAATAGTGAAAAACGTCCAGCAACGGAATGAGCTGTAAAAGGAAAAGAAGGAAAAGGAAGGAGTGTCCCACCACAGGAGTTCAAGCAAACGAACAGACGGCCGCAGTGGGGGTGTGTTTGACCTTGACTCTAATTTCTTTTCTTTCTTTTTCTTTTTTATTTATTTGACAGGTAGAGTTAGAGTTAGAGAGTTAGAGAGAGAGAGAGAGAAAGGTCTTCCCTCCGTTGGTTCACTCCCCAAATGGCTGCTACGGCTAGTGCTGCGTTGATCCAAAGCCAGGAGCCAGGTGCTTCTCCTGGTCTCCCATGCAGATGCAGGGCCCAAGCACTTGGGCCATCCCCACTGCCCCCCTGGGCCACAGAAGAGAGCTGGACTTGAAGAGGAGCAAGGGACTAGACCTCAGCGCCCATATGGGATGCTGGCGCCGCAGGCGGAGGATTAACCGAGTGAGCCATGACTCTAACTCCTGACCCAGGACTCTTCTAGGAAGTCCTGGGAGCCAGGGGACATGGGTTTTGGTGGAGGAGTACCTGCTCTGAGCAGGTAGGAGGAACACGGGGCCACTGCTCTGGGGGCAGAGGGAGCTCCCCGAGCTGTCCTTGAAGGAAAACCGGCCTCCCACACTCACCCTCTGTTCCAGGCTCAGGATGCGCTCGCGGTCCAGCTGGCTCTGGTGGATGGAGGCGGCCAGGGCCAGGTGGGAGGCCTCCACCTCCTTGTTGAGGACGGCGACGATGTTCTCGAACACGCGCAGCTTCCCCTCCAGCTCGGCCAGGAGCTTCTCTTTCATGAGGTGCTGCAGGGCCAGCTCCTCCTGGCTCTCAGAGCACGGTGCCCGGTAGCAGTCCACCTCCAGGTCCCCTGCCACCTCCACGGCGGCCTGCAGCTGCAAGTCTGACAGGTTCCGCTCCAAGGCCATAGGCCCGGACCCCAGGCCAGAGCCCAGCTGAGCCTTCCACTGTTTCATGAACCCCAACAGCAGGTTTAGGTGGGAGGCCTGGGAGGTGGCCTCATGCTCCTGCAAGGACTGTGCGTTTCCCTGCCAAGAGAGTGAGGCTGATCAATGAACACAGAGGCGGAGGGAGGACCAGAGAGCAGGGGAGGGACCCTCTCATCACAGTCAGGTCCATCCACTCAGCAAAGGGGAAGCAGCTTTCTGTACAGTCGTAGGGAGGGGTGTGCAGGAGCCTGCATTAGGCAGGACACAGCCACATGCATCCTGGCCTCTAGACAATGGTCCTCCCTGCCCTTGAGTGCAAGGGTGATTCAGGACCATGGAGAGAGACACGGGGCCATTTTGGTGATGCTATACCAACGCTTAGATGGTACTTAAAGCACCATCATGGCTTAATAGTGAGATCGGCTGCTCGGGAAAGTCATCAGTCATAAGGGGCATCCAGAGGAGTAGCTTAGTGTCACAGCAAAATTCTGGAGGGGCTGGAATGGGGGACCCAAAGGTCTGCAACCCTGTGGACAGATCCCCGTTCTCACACTCAAACACTTACCTTAAAGGAGCAGCCAACACCTGCAAAGGGGCACCCAGCTCCAGCCTCAGCCACCTCGGGGTGAATCTGGAAATAACAGTTGCGTCACTGGATGTTATAGGGATCGCTGTGGCCACGTCTAGGGCTCTCGGCAAAGGACCAGGAGCCAGGCTGGGCCACGTGACTTTGCACCTGCTGTTCCCTGAGCCTGGAAGGCCCCTTTCTACCCTTTGTGTCTCAGTTCTTCCAAACGGGGCCAGGGCCCCTGTGGTGATCCCAGGCAGCACTGCTATTCCTCCAGTTGGGACACATTCCACACAGCTCAGAAAGTTTCATTCACATTGGGTTGCTCCACTGGTCTAGGGTCTCTGGGAGAGTCATGGCTGCATATTCCCAGTGCCTGGCACAGGAGACACTTGGAACCTGCTGCCACACATGTCAATGCCTCCCTCCTCCTGAAGCCCACGGGCACAGGTCTCGGAGTTCCCGCTGGCATCCCTCCTTGGCCATCTATCCTTGATCGAGCTGTGCCTGCCCTGCATGGGCTTCCCTCCCAGATAACACACAGCCCAAGAGCAGGCACACAGCAGGGGCTCACTGCTGACAGCAACTTGATACTGCTCCAAACCTACTCAGGTCTGAAGGGTTTACCAAACTCTCTTACGTCATAACTCTTCTTAGGGCTCAGAACAATGCTGTGGGGAAGATGGGGTGTCCCCCCCCATTTTACTGACATAGCAGAGGGAAGGGAGCTGCCCAAGGAGCCATAGCTGGGAAGCAGCATGGCCTCCGGACTCCTCCACACACCATTCTCTCTTATCAGGAATAAGTCTGCAAGAGATGGGAGAAACCTTTTTCCAAAACATGTACCTGCAAAAGGACTTATATCCTAAATATATAAAGAACCCTTACAATTCAAGAGTTAGCAGCAGGTAACCTCATGAGAAATGGGTATTAGGGAGAATCCTGCATAGACACTGTACAAAGGGAGACACAGGGTGACAAAGGAGCCTGCGGAGCGGCTGATACCAGTAGCCATCTGGGAAAGGGGGCGTGCACTGAGATGCAACCGCCCACGGGCTAAAACTCCACTGGACTCTGTCCCTACGTCGTCCAAATAAAATCAAAGTACATGAAAAATTTCAAGTCTTATGAAAAAGATTGACAGTATCAAGCCTTGGTGAGGGCTGGAGCAGTGGGAACCTTCATGTCGCTGGTAGGAACGCAGAATGGAAGACACTTTGGAAAAATCCCATGGGAGACCTTACACTGGGACATCTGATAAAGTGAAGCCGTCTTTATAAATGAACTGACTCACAAAGCCCACTTAGAAAGTTCCTGTACAACCCACACAGCCCACTCCTAGGACAAAGACAAGGTTTACCCAAGACGAGGGAAAACACAATCTACTCAAACGTGTATGTGCAGGCTCACAGCAGCCGTAGTCATTACAGCCACTCCCATGTTATTATCTGGCAAATGTGCACACACTGAAATCATGGCATCTCCATACCCCACGACTCAGCACTGTCACAAATTCAACACTCACACACACAGTAACAAGACACGCTACACGCAAGAAGTTACACACACAAATGACTGCATTTCACCACGACTCCATTCTTCTAAGGTTCTAGAAAGGGCAAATCTATAGTGATAGAAAGGGGATCGGGGTTGGGCGGGGCTGCAGGTAGGAGGAGGGAGGGGCGCGCAGGGGCACAGAGCACTTTGTCTGGGGTGGAAGTGTTTGGCATCTTGATCGCGGTGGTGGGTACGTGACACCCGTTAGCTGGGATGCTCCTCAGCTGCGCACTGAAAATGAGGAAGCTGTGTTGCTGCATGTGAGTAAAATCTTGACTTTACAGGACTTTTGTTGCTTTTTGTGGAAGAACGACCTTGAGGGTGAAGCGAAAGGGGAACTGAAGGCAGGGGCGGGGGGCGGAGGTCTTCTGGACTCGGTGAATCAGGAGCCACCCTAGTTCTCCTTCTTTAAACGTGGGGTGAGCAGAGGACTGTGGGTTTAACGAGTGCAGCTGGTTTGGGAGAGAGGGCACAGGGCCACCCATGCCTTGTTCCACTGCTCTGGACTCCAGGGACAAGCTGCTCCCAACGAGGAACAGAAAAGAGATGCTTTGGGGTGGGTGAGGGGTGGGCAGAGGGTGGCCTTGGCAGGGGGACCACCGAGGCTTTGGACATTTGCAAGGATGAAGGCTCCCCCAAGAGGCAGCTTCCATAAGAGGGGACACTGGGGGGACCTGATGCCACATGTGGGTCTGAGCTGGGGGTGAGTGGCCTTGGGGCTCCTCTCAGGCCCTGTAATCCCCCTCGAGCCCGTGATTTGAATCCTCTGGTCCCAAGGGCTCAAGCTTGAAGGGGGTGAGGAGGTGAAAGTGATGGAGTCAGCAGTGGGGGTGTGGCCATCACCCCGCAGGTGGAGGGGTGTTAAATGGCAGCTAGGCCTGGGGGCGGGCGAAGTGTGAACAGGGAAAGCCCATTGCAGGGGCCAAGGGCCACCCTCACTCTGCTGTCTGTGGTGGCATGGGCTGGGAGCAGCTGTGGTGACTCAAAAGGCCTTCAGGGGCTGCCCCTGGTCCCACCATCATTCACGCATTCCTTAGAGCACACAGCGGTCGTGGGTGTGGGCTCTGGAGCCAGCCTGTTGGCCCGGAGCTCATCTCCGTCACGTCTCATACCAGCTGTGTGGCCCCGGGAGAATCATTCACCTCTCTCTGTCTCGGTTTCCCCATCTTCGAGATGGGGATATTAGCAGCACCCCCTTTGCAGAGTTACTGTGAACATTAAATGAGATAATACACGTAAGGGCTGACATCAGTGCCAATTGCTGCTGTGACAAAATTCCAAATTTTTTTTTTTTTTGACAGGCAGAGTTAGACAGTGAGAGAGAGAGACAGAGACAAAGGTCTTCCTTCTGTTGGTTCACCCCCCAAAATGGCCGCTATGGCCAGCACGCCGCGCCGATCTGAAGCCACGAGCCAGGTGCTTCCTCCTGGTCTCCCATGTGGGTGCAGGGCTTAAGCACCTGGGCCATCCTCCACTGCCTTCCTGAGCCACAGCAGAGAGCTGGCCTGGAAGAGGAGCAACCGGAACAGAACCGGCGCCCCGACCGGGACTAGAACCCAGAGTACCGGTGCTGCAGGCAGAGGATTAGCCTAGTGAGTTGTGGCGCCGGCCAAAATTCCAAACTTATTGGCTAAGACAATGCAAATCGATAATTCTTTCACGTTCTGGACGTCAGAAGCCCTGATGTCCAGGTGCCAGCAGGAACATGCTCCCTGCGGAGCCTCTGGGGGAGGACGGATTTCCTTGCTTTTTTTTTTTAGCTTTCCTTGGCTTGTGGCCCCTTCTTCCACCTTCAAAACAGCAGCAGAACGTCTTCCAACCTCCCTCCCGCCAGACTCTCTCGTCTGGCTCTTCCGAGGACCCTCGTGAGTGCGCTGGGCCCACCTACGTGGTGCAGGGCGATCCTCCCATCTCTAGATCCTTAAATGAATGACATCTGCTGTCTCTTTTGCCATTGCTATGGGCTGTACTATCCCCACCCCCCCACCCCCAACCTCAGATGCCTACGTTGAAGTCCTAACCCCCAGTATCTAACAGCACGGAGATGGAGGTCGTTCAAGAGCCCATCTTCAGGGTGGGCCCTGATCCAGTCCGACTGACGTTACAGGGAAAGGACATTTGGACGCAGACAGAGAGGGAAGACGACTTGGGGACACGGGGAGGAGTTGGCGGTACAGTGGAGCGGCAGGGTGACGGCTCACCAAGGTCGTGCCATGCCTGTGAGCTGTGCAGCTCCTGAAGCCTGGGTCTTTTCTCCTGCAGCCGGAGCCTGCGTAAGCCCTGGCCCCATCAGACTCTCCCACACAAGGAGGGGGCCGGGGTTTTAAGGCTCTGCTTCCCCCACGCAGGGACAGGGGCCTGTGACCTGCCTAGGGTGACAGGGCTGGTTATGGTGGAGCCCAGGAGCCTGGGTCCTCCCTCTCCACCAGAGTCCTCACCTTGACCAAAGCGTGGTGTCCCCTGAAGGCTGGGGACCCAGGCGACAGGTGAGGGACTCAGGCATGGGCTGTAAGGAAAGAACAGTGGCTCTGTCCCCGGCCTGGCTCGGCCTGGCCAGTTTCTGGGGCCCCACGTGGCCCTGTGGGAGCAGCCTCACTGCTTGCAAATAGTTAATAATACAGTTTGCGGTGGGATTTCCCCGGAGGAGGAGGAAAGAGAGACAGAGAGAGCGCAGAACGCCAGCCTCGGGAGCCGGGCCTCTGTCTGCATTTCAGACGTCTGGCTGTGCGTGATCCTGGCCTCCCTGCCACCCAGGCCCTTGGAGATGGGGTCGCTGAGGGTCGCTGTGGGAGGCCCCTGCTGGGGGATCTGCAGGTGTCTGAGAGTGTGGGTGTGGGGAGAGGCAAGGAGCAGGCGTGCTGCCGCTGTGCAGAACAGGAGGACCTGGGCCGTGCCAGGCACTGCCCCTCTGCTGGGCTGGGGCTCTGGCTGCCCCCAGGCTGTTTCTGCTCGCACCAAGGGGGAGGCACTCTATAGTTACGAGCACTCTATAGTTGGGGGAAGATGGGGAGGGAAGCAGCTTGGTCCACATGCCCAGCCTGCCAGTTCCACCCTCTTCTGTATTGGACCAGTGTCCTCTTTGCCAACCTTGACTCAGCTCAGCTGCCATCAGCAGGGAGCCCCGCCTGATTTTCCTGGGTGAAAGTGGGCCTTGCCCTCTCACTTTTCTGACAGCGGTTGGAGGACTCTAGGACTTGCAGCTGGCTGTGTTATTTAAACATGCACCAACCACTCAGTGAGGCCACACAGAGCAGACGCCACCAGCCCGGGATGCAGGAGTTGGGGCCTGGCCTTGCCTCCTACCTGCTGGGATTGGTCCAGGCAGGCCTCACTGAGCCTCAATGAATCACCTATCGGTAAAATAGAGACATCACGGCCGTCCACTGCACAGGGTGTCACTGGACTGCAGGTTCAGAAGTGAAGGGTTCGGGGGTCCTTTCTAGGTGTCACACTTCAGGGGACACAGAGAAATGGGAGCCTATTTACCCCAGATGCACAGAGACGGGGGCAGGCTCAGGAGGGATGTGGTTGGTGTCTTCCCACAGGTCGGGACCACCTTGGGGGACTTGCCTTTCACTGGCTCCAAAAGGAGACAGATTTCAGTGCAGTGCAAATGAAATGCTGCAATAGCCAGAGCCCCCCAGGGTGGAAGAGGCCATCTCGTGAAGTAATGAGTTTGGAAAGACATCAAGACACTCGGCAGGAATCCAGCACACAGTGAAAACTGGACGAGATGGCTTGAACGCCTGGCATTTTCTGATTCTAGAGAAAGCTAAGGCAGCCCTGCGAGTCCCTGGCATCAGACACCAGCTTGCTCCTGCCTTTCACATCAGGCCTCAGAGGGAGGAGAGGACGAGAACTTCTCACTAAACAGAACTGAATGCGATCTGCCAGCCCCAGGTCCACCCCCGCTTCATTGTCCCTTCTACCGAAAGGGCATCCTGGGCAAGAACCGAGTCCCTAACGAGGTCAACGTTAACCCCTGACTGTCTGCTTCTTGGACTGGGTGATCAGGCTGTGGCTCTGGGCGCATCTTCAGGGGCTATTAATTTAATGAGCTCAGAGGATGAGGACAAACTGATAAGCAGAAGGCACGGAAAGCGTGCAAGGATGGGCACCTTTGGCCTTAGCCCAGCTGCTGCCCAGGAGGGGATGCACAGACTCAGGAATCACCACTGTGCAAAGTGCTGACTTACAATCAAGCTGCTTCCCATCGGTCAAAAGTCCCCCCGAAGTTCCCACCAGGCCCAGGGGTCAGTGGAGTCCCTGGTGTTTCCAGGACGCGGCTGTGCGCAGGCGGTCAGGACACTGACTCGCCCTCCTGGCAGCCTGTCTCCGGGGAAGCCGTGATGAGCACTCGAGGTTCCTGTGTCAGAAGCTGGGTCCCCAGTGGGCGATGCTAACAGGTGCGGCAGCACTACGAGAGGAGGCCTCAGGTCATGGGGGACGTGCTCTCCAAAGGGATTGACAGGGTTTTTGTGGGACCCTGAGTTAATTCTTACAAGAATGATTTTAGAGCGAGTCCAACCTCTGGATCACTCTGGCTTCCCGTCCAGCCACGTGCTCGCTCTCTCTAGCATGCACTCCCACCACTGTGGTGCCTTATGCTACCAGGTCACGCTCTGGGACCTCCACGCCGTGCACTGAATAAACCTCTTTTCCTTATCAAGTGACCCAGCCTCAGGCATTTCGCTATAGTAACGGAATGGACTAATCCCACGGGGAAGTCAATAGGGAGGGGAAGGCTGGTGCTTCCGGGAGGTCTGGCTGCATCAGAGGGGACCCTGTCCTCCCCCCTCCCCCCCAGGCAGCCTCCTCCCCTCCCCCACCGTCTGTTACAGCCTCTGCCATTTGAAGGCAGCAAGGTTCCAACTGTGCTCTGCTGGGCTCTAGGCGTCCCCAGGGTCCATCAGGAGCTGGGACAGGAGAAAGAAGGAGAGGAATTAAGAAGATGGGCCCCAGACTCCTCTTCATCAGGGACTTCCACAGGGATTTCACTTTAACAAAGGTACGAATATGAAAACCACTGGATTAAGAGCTATTAAGATACCTCTTGCCTAAACTGATTTGTACAATGAACATGCGTTACTTTGTTAGGAGGAAAGAACAGAACAAGTTAGAGGCAACAGTCCTAGAACGTTTAAACAGGCAGGGTGCTTCTGCAGCTGGGCACTGAGACCATCTTTGCATAAATGAAGTGATGCGACAGAAGATGATAGTTTTGGGTGACGTCTTTACTGGATAAAATTAAAAGCAGGCTTGGGTGGGTGTGCGGTCCATCAGTTAAGATGCCCACATCCCATATGGGAGTGCCCGGGTTTGATATCCGGCTGCAGCTCCTGACTCCAGCTTCCTGCTGGCGCAGACTCTGTGGGGCAGCAGGTGATGGTTCCCACACTTGGAAGGTGGGCACTGCGGCCCACAGAGATACGCATCTGCTCGTGTCTCACTGCTGGTCCTCGAAGACAGCCAGGCGGGGGCTCAGGAAGTTAACCCATAGACCAGTGCACCATCTGAACTCTCACCACATCACAGAGCATGAAGCTGCAGAAAACCCATTTCGGCCTTGCTATGATTCCCCGACAGCCTCCCAGAGGAGGGGCTCCCGAGGAGGGGGCGGGAAAGCCCTCCAAACCAACACGGGATGGGGCAGGAAATTGCCCCGAACTCTCCGGATGACAGGGACCAGTGTGAGAGAGGAGGAGGAGTGTGCAGACTCATAAGCCTCAGGTGCAACCTCGGGAGGGGGAGCCGCCCTGGCCGCAGCTGACTCATGACCTGGACATCCCAGGCCCTGGGCAGGCCACGCACAGCCCCCTGAGCATCTTCAGTTCACAGATGGAGGAACAGGCCCCGGGCCCCGCCTCCAGCGACACAGGGAGGCAGTGAATGGCACAGCGCCCTCCCTGCACGCCTGGCCCTCCATCCTTGGACCATGGTTTGCTGCCAGAGGAGGCCTGGACTGAAAGGCGCTGGGGGTCTCACAGTGGGGGTGGTGAGGGGAGCCGGGCAGTGGGATCCTGGACACTGGGCAGCACTGAGACTTCCCTACAGGTACTGGGGGGGGGGGTGTCTCACATGCAAATGAAGGGATTATATTTTAGACAGTGGTGATTTCTATGTGTTTGGATTCATAGACCAATATAGGTGTGTATTTTGTTTCACTGGGAGATTAATATAAAGAGTGCTATATTTAAAATTTTTTTAAAAAAATATTTATTCAAGAGGCAGAGAGACAGAAAGCAAGAGAGAGCTGGTTCATTTCCCAAATGCCTGTGATGGCTGGGGTAGGGCTAGGCCAAAGTCGGAGCTGGGCACAAATTCAAGCCCCTCCCGTGGGTGGCAAGAATCCAGCTGCTTGAGCCACAGCCGCTGCCTCCTAGGGTCTGCACCAGCAGGAAGCTGGGCTCAGCCACTGGGAGCCAGCTGTTGAACCCAAGTACTGGGATGTGGGTGTTTGTAGGCATCTTAAATGTCAGCCCAAACACCCACCCTGGGCTCCAAGCCTGCTAGCTTTTAGCTTTAAATAGCAAAGGTGCTGCCTAAAACTCTGCCACCTTCGATCATATTGTTTCATTTATACAAAGACACGTACAGGAGGGACACCATCTCAGAGTAAAAGTTGACTGTATAAATGCAAACAATTTAGTCTTGTAAAAAAACCACCTCAGGAACTGGTGAGGATGGGTGGGCTCTGGCTGGCATGTGGGACCCTCTGGGCAGGAGAGACCCCCCATGAAGGTCCTTCCAGCTTGGGAGGCCTTGGATTCTAAACCGTGGTACCCGAGACTGTCTCTTTGGCCCCTCATACTCCCAAGGGCGTCTCCTGAGCCGAGAAGGGTGCTGACAATGGCCTCTCCCTGCCGGAGAGAAGGGGCTGGCAGGGGCAGAGCGAGCTCCCTGGATCGAGGGTTGCTTGCTTTTTCTGCAAAGGGCCAGAGAGCAACTCTTTGGGGCTCTAAGTCCTCTGTTGCGAGTACCGAATTCCACTACGCTAGGGAGCAAGCGGCCGCAGAGAACAGCTAAGTGAATGGGCTTGGCTGGGTACTAGGAAGACTTAGTAATGGACACTGAAATTTACATTTCATATAATTTTCATGTGACTCCAAAGGTCATTCTTCTTTTGATTTCTTTTCCCCAACTATTTAAAAATATAAACGCTCAACACAGGCTGTCAAAAAGCTGGGTCTGGCCTTTGTTTGTTGGCCCCTGGCCTGGACAGTCACCATTCACCTTTGACCTATTACAGACCAGTCGGTGGCCGTGGGCAAGCTGCCCCTCCACTGTGAGCATCAGCCTCCTCACTGCTAGCAAAACAAATTCATGGCAGATTCTGGGCCACGAGGGAGGCGGCCGTCTGCTTGGCCTCAACCTGGGAAAATCCAGAAAGCGGAGTGACGCCGCTTCCCGGCTGCGCCGACGTACCTTCTCCTGGGTCCGGAGGCTTCCGGGGCTCACGGAGGTTGGGTTGTCCCCTTTGCACGCAGGACAGATGCGGTCCTCACAGTTCCTGGGGGAAAAAAATGAACAAATCCCTCTGAGCGAAGTTTGACTCCTGCACCAGGGCCTCTCCTGGCAGCCGCCAAAGCCTAGACCCTGCTTGGGCGCCGCGGCAGCCGCCATCGCGACCCTGCCTGAGCCTCAGAGGCGCGGAGCACCTGATGCTTTGCCTGGGTTCCTAGTGACCTTTGATCTCAGCGCATCAGGGGCTATGGCAGCCCTGGGTCCCACTTGGGCCCTGCATGCTGCGTTGCAGAAGCGTTAACCAGCTTGAGAACAGGGTGTTGCCCCAGTCCCTGCTCCAGCGATGACGTAATGTACCAACTGGCTCTTCTGAAACCCGAGAACGTCGTGCGTTCCCAAACTCAGGAGTTGAGGCGAGGGAATGCGGATGTGGAATGGCACTGCTCCTTCGTGTCCTGTGTGTGGTGCTGGGCTCCTATTTCTGGTAATGACGGGTGACCACGGACTCTGAGAACAAGAAGGGGTCTCCCAGACCTAGCCTGGGGTTTCCCAGCCGGAGGTGGATGTCACATTGTGACCCGTGTCGCTGCAGGTGAGCGCCCAAGAAATTCCGATCCACAGTGAGAGCCACCGGCCTGGCCCATTTCATAGGTGGGAAAAATGAGGTCCTGAGGGCATGTGGGTTGGCCTCAGCAGAGTGACTCAGGAGCAGGAATGGGCAGACACTTGTTGGGCCTCAGGCCCCCGCCCCTTTTACCAACAGTCAGCTCCCTTCCCCCTGGGAGCATGGAGAATGGAGAGGGACCCTGCACAAAAACCTGAGATGAACCCCAAAGCCCCATCTCGCTGGGGAAATGGGTCAGCTGCACTCCTGGCCACCACCTGGCCTTTCCATGACCACGCCCCTTCTCCCAGCCTCTCCCCACCCCCCTGCATCACCCGAACTTCTCCCTCAGCCAAGTTCGTCTTCCCACCTACTCAAGTTGTAAAGCCCCAAACAAAAGGTCATGCTGCTTAAGGGCCTATTTTTCAGGAAAGTGCCTGGAACAAGCTGGCCTCCTCTCCCTCTCATAGGCCTCGGCCTTCTCCTTCGTAGAAGACGGTGATTACAGTACCCGTCTGTCCAGGCTGCTCTGCAGAGCCAAGGAAAGCTTGGCACACAGTGGGTGCATAATAGTTGCCTAAGGAGGGATGCTGGTGATAGTACTGGCCACACCTTTCTGGGTTATAGATATTTCCAACATACATACATGTATAGATAAAAAGATATATACACACATGTACCCGTGTGGAACACGTAATACATATACGTAGCATGCATGGTATATGGTATACATATGCTATGCCTCCCTCTACACTCTGTCCCCTGTCACAGGGCTGCCAGCCCACAGGATGTGATATGTGCGTGGCATTTTGTCATTGACCCTAAGGCTTCCCATTCATTATTCTAAGGACTTCTGGAATCTCATGGATTGAGCCTCACAGCACTTCTGTGAGGCAGCGAATAACTTCCCCCGCAAGACAGCTGCGGCCCGGGGACATGAGCAGGCTTGCACCAGGCACGCGGTAAGAGGGTGGCCTCGCTTCTCCCACAACTACCCGAGGGGCCGTAGCAGGGCCTGGGAGGAAAGGTGTGGAAGCTGAGGCCCGCAGAGGTCAAGTCGCGGGCTCCTCTCTCCCTCGCCTCCCACCAGGGCCCCTCATTGTACCTCCTCGCCACCCGCCCCTCGCGCCTCGCCCCCTCACCTCAGGTTCTCAGAGAGGCAGGCTGTGCAGCACAGGGCCCTGGGCTCTGCCGGGTCCTGGAAGGCGCTGGGGGGGCACCCAAAGGGAAACTCGTTCTCATCGGGGGCCGGGCGGGGGCTGCTGGCTGAGCTCGAGGCCATCTTGGGGTTCCCTGCTGGCCCTCAAGGGCCTGTGAGGAGAGGAGAGCCGGGCTCTGGGCTGGGCCACTCTGGTGCACAGGAGTCTGATGACTTTATCTTCTCTCCAGCGTGTGTGGTTCAACGTCACAGCTGAGTCATGGCAGGGATGGGGCAGGAATTACCCTTTGTGGTGAAAAAAATTCCCCTGGATGGTGACTGCAGGCTTCAGGAGTGTCCAGTCATTTTTTGGAGTGAGCAAGAATGAGAGAGAGAGAGAGAGAGAGAGAGAGAGAGAGAGAGAGCGAGAGCCGAGTGAGATACTTTCAGGAACCAGAGAGAGAGAACCACAGGCTGCCCCCGGCCGACAGGGCTTCCTCCGCCGCCTCCCCAGGGTGCAGCGGGAGACGCCCCCACCCCAGCAGCCCAGACCGCCCACCGGGGGTGCTCACCTTCCTGGCGGAAAGCCCCAGGGTCCTTGAAACAGGTTCTAAAAGTTCTAGGTGCCGTCCAGAGCGTCTGGGTAATCTCAGGTGAAAGTCACTTCCTCACCATGGGTTTCGGTTAACCCATCTGCGAAAGAAGAAGTTGCAAGAGGTGATCTCTGGGCACTCCGATTCTGCGACCCTCTGACCAGGCAACCGGCAGCCTCTGCTGATGCCCCCAGCCCAGCCGTGGCACTGCCCGGCCATCACAGGAACCACACAGGCCCGCCCCTCCTTTGAAGTCCCAGGTTTTTGGAACGCAGCCTCTGTAGGGGCCTCTCCCCGCTGTCCCACTCAGGAAGTCATAGGCGGCTATGTGCTCGGGTCAGGCGCCACCACTTCCCTGTCCCGAGGCGAACAAAGCAAAGAGGAGACCACGGGCGCCGGGTCTCAGCAGCCAAGGGGGATGTGGACGGACTTTGGCAGGGAAAGCGGGCCGAGGCACGTCTACCACGAGCTAGGTGAGGCTGTCCCTGGGAGTCCTTATAGCACCTGCCAGGAATTCTGCAGGCTCCAAGAAGCCCACGGTCGCAGACCTCCCTGTCTGTCTCTCTCCATCACTCAGGCCCTGCACATCTCTCTCTCCTGCGGGGCTGTTACAGATCGTGACGTTTCATTCAGTAGGCTTTGAGGTCGCACAGATCTGAATTGGGACTGCCAGTCCACCTGTTACTCACAGTGGGTACTGCCACATAAACCCTGACTCCTCCGAACTGCAGGTTTTGATCTATAAAACGAGGCTAACAACACCACCTTCCCCCCACCCCCTGCCATGAGGTCCAAATGCACCTGCAGGTGGGGAGCAGCACCCTACAGACAGCTCGAAAGGCTTTGACAGTTACTCAGCTGATGGCCGAAGCTCTTCTGTTTGTTCAAAACAAGGGGAAAGGACTTGCATGGTAAACGATCCCTGCCTAGCGTTTTCATACCTGTCTACTTAAACTGAGCCTCCCAGGCAGGCAGGGTGGGCCAGGTGGAGTCATCTGAGCTTAGAAAAATTCCACCGCCTATTTCCCTAAGATACCTGAGACCAGGACCTGCACCTGGGCCCACTGCCACCCACTTCACGACGTTCAGCCTGCCACCCTTCCGGCCTCCCCACGGTCCCCGCCCTCCCCCTGGCTGGGAGAAGAGAGGCGCCCAAGCCCCGCCTCCCCAGGCAGGCTCTGGGTCCCCGGGCTCGCCCCTGGGTATTCAACGCCTTCCGCTCAGCGTCACAAGAAGCCCAATCTGCTCTCATCCCAAAAGTAGAAAACGAGACGTCCCACTTTTTAGTGTTGGGTTGAGTTCTTTCACAGGCATCACCGCCCCTACTTTTCACACGACCCCGAGGAAGTACGGCCAGCTTCATCTCCATTTTACACTGAGAGGTTAAGCGACAAGTTCAAGGTGGGAGGGGATTTTTGAACCCAGAGCCCATGCTCCAATCGAACAGACTTTAAAATGCGCTTCCTCCTCCTCCTCTAACTCCCTGCCCACAGCCACTCTCTTGCCACTCACCGGTGGAACCTTCTAGAAAAGACTGTCCACACAGGCCTTGAATTGCAGGCAGCTATCTCCCAAGGCTACACAAAATGCCAAGGTCACATATGTCCAGGCCTATCCCAGTTTTCTACCCAACCAGCCCCCGGCCAGCAGCTGATAACGTTCTAGCCGGTCCTTGCAGGATCCCTTGCTTCTCTCAGACTTCCTGCACCCCCTCGCAGGGAGCCCAACCCCCCACCCCAGAGGGTCGCCTTGATCCTTTTCTCCGTGTAAGTCCCATCTCTGTGGGACCCCCATCTCCCAGCCTCCCGCTCAGCCCTCCGGGTGCGCGTGGCCCGGACCCCGCCTCCAGGAAGCCTCCGCGGGCTGCCCCTAGGATGGCACTGGGTGCCCAGCTTTGCTCTGCCCTCGCGTCCCGCTGGCCCCAGCACGGCCCCCTGCCGCACCGTCGGTGCGCTACCCCGCTCCGCCCCCCGCCCCCGAGCGCAAAGTGGCTGTCGCCTCGCCGCCACCACCGCATCTCCAGGTGTGAGAGGAGGGTGAAGGTGCCCGAGGGGGGGAGGGCCCAGGGGGCCCAGCGAGTCCGCGCCGGGCTCTGCGGCCGCAGCCACGCGCTCCCAGGCCGCGCCGAAGCGCGCGGGGCTGGCTGCGCGGGGATCGGGGCGCGGGAGCCGCCCGCGGTCCCGGGGCGGAGAGGCGCGGGGTGCGCGGCGACCAACCTCGGCGCCGCCGCCGCCGCCGCTTGCCCGAGTCGGGCTGGAGCTTCCGGTGGGACGCGGAGGACGCGGCCCCGCGGACGGAAGCCGGGCAGGCCAGGCGGTGGACCGGCGCCGGCACTCGGGCCTGCTCCGGAGGCCGCCCCGGGGGCGCCCCTGCTGGGGAAACTGAGGCCCGGCGGGTCTCGGGCGCCGCGCCCTGCACTCCCTGAGCGCCGCGTGTTCCCGCCACCCAGAGCAGAGCCTGCGCGCACTGGCTACTCAGTAAAAACGCCCTGGAACCTTCACTCTGGTCCCCTGCCTGCCTGAAATGCTCCGTGGGCGTGAGACGCAAAGTAGCCAGCCCGAGCCTCACGCGGCTCGGATTCCCGCGGGGAGGCTGCGCCGCGCCGGGTCACTTCCCGGCTCAGCGCACTGGGTCCGAGCAGTCGGGTAGCAGCAGGTGCTGAGCTCCAGGTGCGGCGCTTCCAGCATTTTAGGGAACTGCTACTGTGTTTTGTCTGCACGCACGCACACACAGAGGACCTGTGTACGTTCATGGAACCTGGGGCAGACTTGTGGCCTAAAAGACACAAACAGCCTTTATTTCTGCTTCTCGCCAATTAGACACAAGCTGTTTGCTGGCTGAGGGAGGCGTGAGGCTGCCCGCCTTGGCGGTGGTGCTTGGTTTGAACGCTCCGAGGCACCTGCTGCATTCTCTTCCCGTGCTGGGGTCCTGCTCTTAGGTCTTGACTCCGAGAGCAGGAGACTATCTCTTACTTCTCGTGATTTTTGTAAAACCTGGGATGGAAAAAAGTCTCCTACGTGTGGGAGACCACGATGCTGTCTTTCAGCCTGTAGTGGACAGGCCTGTGTGCATTCCGTGTCTCGCTGGTGGAAAGAGAAGCTTGGGCTCCCCCTGGAATTCCGGGAGACGCCAGCGTGGGAACAGGCAGAGGATCTCAGGAGCCTGCGAGAGGGAGTTCCTCTAATCTGTGGGAGGCTGACCAGAGGTGGCCTCTATGGGGCCTCTTAATTCCAAGAGAAAGGGACTCAAATCGGTTGGGGGCCAGTGTTGTGGCTCAGCAGGTTAAGCCGCCACCCACCAATGCGGGCATCCCCTAGGAGCGCTGCTTCGAGTCCCGGCTGCTCCACTTCTGATCCAGCTCCTTGCTGATGTGCCTGGGAACCCAGGCAAGGGTGGCCAAAGTACTTGGGTCCCTGCCACCCTTGGGGGAGACCCAGATGGAGTTTCAGGCTCCTGGCTTTGGCCTGGCCCAGTCCTGGCTGTTGTAACCATTTGGGGAGTAAACCAGCAGATGGAAGATCTTCGGCTCTCTCTCTCTGTAAAATAAATAAAGGAATCTTAAACAAACAAAAAGTATCGATTCTTGGTAGAATCCATGAAGCGAGGTTTCTCAAGGCTTTGTGGTACATGCCAGTCATTCCCTGGTCCCACTCTCTGTGCACCCCCGCCCCACTTCTGCAGTCCTAAGCCAGGGTGAGTGCATAAAGCAGGCCATCTGACCTCACTCTTCATGTGCCACATCCTGTTTTCAGATTAATGAGCTCACTTGCTGGAAATTTACCAAGGGAAATAGTTTAATTTTGGAAAGTACCAAAAACTTGTCTGTAGTCACTTGGCTTAATTTGGGGGGCTCTTGAAACAGAGGGGGCACCACCGGCGGGCCTCTGAGTGCCCGGGGAAAGGCAAGACTGTAGAAATCGAAACCTGAGGCCTGTGAGGCTGAACCTGACTCAGAAAGGAAATAAGGCCTTTCGGAGACCACTCATCTCTACAAAGCAGAATTTTCTTTTTCTAAAAATAAGTTTAAAAAGAGAAATTAGCCCATCTGGCCAAGGCCTCAGTGCTGGTGGCGGAGGAACAAGAAAGCAAAGGCAGGGAAGTAGGTGCTGCCTGCGCCTCGGCCGCCTCTCCCCATCCGTGTCTGGCTGGCTTGCTCTCAGAGCCAGCCCCGGCTTTCCTTCTCCAGTTCTGCCCTCACACCCTTGACACTGAAGTCGTCTGCCGGGTCTCTGAGCCTTGCAGTTTGTGACTCCTGCCCAGGAGCTAGAGATTGGAAGTTCTAGAAGAATGCTGGCTGATTTAAAGATCAGCGGGCTATTCTGTGTTGAAGATGGCAGAGGGGCCGGTGGTGTGGCAGGGCAGGTAAAGCCGCCAGCTGCAGTGCCGGCATCCCATATGGAAGTCGAGTCCCGGTTGCTCCACTTCTGATCCAGCTCTGTGGTCTGGCCTGGGAAAGCAGTAAAAGATGGCCCAAGTCTTGTGGGAGACCCGGAAGAGGCTTCTGACTCCTGGCTTCGGATCGGCACAGCTCCAGCAGTTGCGGCCAATTGGGGAATGAACCAGTGGATGGAAGACAGACCTCTCTCTCTCTCTCTCTCTTTCTCTCTCTCTCTGCCTCTCCTTCTCTCTCTGTGTAACTCTGACTTTTAAATAAATAAATAAATCTTAAAAAAAAAAGAAAAAAGAAGATGGCAGAACACAAGCGAACCCCCCTCAACTTTATCTCTAAGTGTCTGACCACCTCCTGGCCTGCTGTTTCCTAGGGTAGAAGCTTATAATCTGTTTCAAGATGCGGAAAGGAAAAATGGTGAAAGTGGTACAAAGTCCTGACAGTTTCTCCCTGGGATGAAAACATTTGCACTTCCTTTCACTGCACTTCGGTCCGATTGCAAGGAGCAGTGGCCTGGAAGTCAGGAACCCTGTGTTCTGTTTTGATTTTTCCCTTGGCCACTAAATCAGTTGTTTAGGGAGAAGGGAAGACAAATAAATGAATAAGTAGTAACTCAAGAATTAGGAATGCACAGTTTTGTTGTTGTTGTTTAGCAGCAAAGGGCCTTAAAGATCATGGGATGCCTTGGGTTTTTGCAACTTGGTGTTAGCTGTAGGACCCCGGCCTCATGGGATGCTGTCTCTCATGCAGCCAAGATACACAGGGCACGCGGAAGCAGAACAGCTGTGTTAAGCAGCACAGGTGGCCAACAGCCTCCGCCCTGGGCTTCTCTCTTTCCCATCTTGACCTTAGGCCTCGACGTCCTGGCAAGTTCATGCTCTTTGAAAAGCTCAGGCCTCACTTGATGTCTCCAGGTCCCAGGCGTGGAGGCTGGGATCCTCTCCCTGGCTTGCATTTGCTGTCGCAGTCCGCTCAGCCTTTTCTCCGACAGAGAATGTGTGCTCTAGTCCAGGACGCTGGGAGCCAAAGGCACCACTGGAGAAGGGAGACGTTACACGGGCCTGGGTCATCAGTGCCCCAGAGCGAGGCAGGACCAGGCTGGAGCCTCAGTATCTGTGGTTGGGGTGGAAGTGATACCAGCAACAGTAATAGTGGCTGTCTTTAATTTAATGCCTGGCCGGCACCGCGGCTCACTTGGCTAATCCTCCGCCTGTGGTGCTGGCACCCTGGGTTCTAGTCCCAGTTGGGGCACTAGATTCTGTCCCAGTTGCTCTTCTTCCAGGCCAGCTCTCTGCTGTGGCCCAGGAGTGCAGTGGAGGATGGCCCAAGTGCTTGGGCTTTGCACCTGCATGGGAGACCAGGAGGAAGCACCTGGCTCCTGGCTTTGGATTGGTGCAGCACGCTGGACATAGCGGCCATTTGTGGGGGTGAACCAATGGAAAGGAAGACCTTTCTCTCTGTCTCTCTCTCTCACTGTCTAACTCTGCCTATCAAAAAAATAATAAATAATAAAAAAATAAAAAAATAATTTAATGCCCAACACTGCTTCAGTCACGTTATATGTATTGCCCCCCTTCTTTTAAAAGAAAACGTGGTACTCATGATGTCTCCTTCGACTGAGCTTCTTCTTATTATTATTTTAAAGATTTATTTATTTGTTTATTAGACCTCCCATGCAGGTGCAGGGCCCAAGCACTTGGGCCATCCTCCACTGCACTCCCAGGCCACAGCAGAGAGCTGGACTGGAAGAGGAGCAACTGGAACAGAACCGCCGCCCCAACCGGGACTAGAACTCTGGGTGCTGGCGCCACAGGCGGAGGATTAGCCAAGTGAGCCGTGGTGCAGGCCTATAACCACTATCAAGTGGTGAGAACAATTTTGTCTCTTCCAGTTGAGAAAACCAAGACTTAAAAGAGTTAAACAGTCTGGTCGAGGTGAAGCCGCCGGACCTCAGTAGGCTGGGAGGAAGAGCGGTCCCTGTAGGATGTGTTTTCTCGGTCTGTTCCGAGCACGCTGGCATCTCTCCTGTCCCCTCGCTGGCAAGCCCTGAGCTGTCCTCCTGCTCTGGGCCTCAGTTGCTACACATATCAGGTGCCTAGGACAGAAGAGATGCTTTCCAGGGTCCTTGGCACCTGACATTTTCAGCTCAACGAAATCCAGGTGAGGAGTACGGGCAGGGGCAGTGGGGCCAGCTGACTCCCTGTCCCCAGCCACCAGGCCAGCGGGTCCTCCCAGGAAGAGGCGGATCCATGAGCCTTCCGTCAGAGCGGGATGGCCAGAGGACAGGCAATGCAGTGTGGGGCAGGTGCGGCTCGGGGAGGGCTGAAGGGGAAGGTTGTGGGGGAGCCCTTGTGGCTGTTGCCGTTTGCATGGACTTTTCCCCACATGCATTTGCTGAGCAC